TCCTCTCCTCTCCTCCTCTTCCACCTCCTCCCTCCTCCCTCTCATCATCATCATCATCATCATCATCATCATCATCATCATCATCATCATCATCATCATCATCATCATCATCATCATCATCATCATCATCATCATCATCATCATCATCATCATCATCATCATCATCATCATCATCATCATCATCATCGTCTGCCTCCTCCTCCTCCTCCTCCGCCTCCTCCGCATCCTCCGTCTCATCCGCCTCCTCCCCCTCATCCGCCTCCTCCCCCTCCTCCCCCTCCTCTCCTCATCCTCCTCCTCCTCCTCCTCCTCCCCGCCTCCTCCTCCGCCTCCTCCTCCTCCCCCTCCTCCTCCTCCTCCTCCTCCTCCATCTATCTCCTCCCTATCCTCCATCCTCCGCCTCCTCCTCCTCCTCCTCCTCCTCCGCCTCCTCCGCTCCTCCTCCTCCTCCTCCTCACGCCTCCTCCTCCTCCTCCTCCTCCTCCTCCTCCTCCTCTTTCTCCTCCTCCTCCTCCAACACCCCTTCCTTCCTTGTAGCTGTCGCGATGTGTTCACACGCATGCGAGTGGTGCTGGGGCAAGAGGTTAATGTTTGAGACACGAGCGACCGCCATCCGTGCAACGGCTCATGCACAATGGCACTCGTGGTGAGATGTACTGAAGAAGTCTCCAGCGAAACCCCGGCACTGCACCCGTGAAGCTGCTGCAAACTTGTACAAGTGCGGCCATCTGATTTGAAGACGTCTCGAGCGAAAGCTCCATCTGACAAAAAACATACCAGCCTCCATCTTCGTAGGTATTGCATATGTTGAAGAGCGAATGCGCGTGGCACGAGGAGGCGAGCCCCAGTTTGAAAGCGCACCGCCATCCACCAGTGCAGTTGCCACACAGCTTTACCTGTGCAGTCACATGCTTTGAAGAAGCCTGAAGCGAGAGCTCCAAACTGAAAGAGACACGAACCACCACCCTTGTACCTGTCGTAGGCCTGTGAGACGATTGCGCGCGGCGCTGCGGCGAGAGCCCCATGTAAGAATAGAACTAGTGAGTACAAATCCCAGGCCGCGCCACAATTCGCTAGCACGGATGTGCGCGGCGCTGCGGCGAGAGCCTCGTATTGACCAGACCCCCGCCGCCTCCAGCGGCACAACTGCTGCAGGCTGCTCGCAAGAGGGCGCGCGGCGCTGAGTGAAGGGGCCCTGGGACACACAAATAAATACACACGAATAGAAAGATTCCCCATAGTTCCCCATCTGTTCTGGGTGCTTGTCTTCCCCCCCACTTCCCATATGTTCCTATATTTTCTCGGGAATCGACGATGAAGTGTGTCTGTGTGTGTTTTTCCCCTCCTGACTGAGACCGGAGCCCCGTGCTGCGGGGCGCCCGGCCTCCATGCGTGCGACTGCTGCGCCGAGACGCCTGCGCGCGCGGGGGGTGCGGCGCGAGCCCCGTCCTGACACGGGCCCGGCCTCCGTCCGCGAACGTGTTGCTGACTACCAGTACCAGACCACCCCCACCTGACTCGAAGACCAGAACTTCGGGTTGGGGGGGGGGTGCGGGCCTCATCTGCATTTTGTCCAAAGGATCCCCGACTCCCCCCCCCCACTGGAAATGGAGGGCAAATCGGGGCCTCGGGCTGGGTTGGGGTGGTTTGGTAGGTGGTGAGCTGCAAGGTTCGAAGACCAATGCGCGCGGCGCCAAGGCGCGAGCTACATGCTGAAAAGGCTGGCCTCCATCCGTGTAGCTGTCGCGTTGGGACGAGTGTACACGGAGCTTATGTGCGAGCCCCATTTTGAAAAGCCTACGTCCGTGCGACCGAACAAGTGCGATTTTGAAAGGGACGGCGATTCGTCCGCATAAATGCTGCATTGAAACGATTGCGCTTGGAGATAGGGTGACAGCCCCATTTTGAAAAGAGGTACGGCCTCCATCCGTGCAACTGGGAGCTAAAGCGCGAGCGACAACAGCAACAACAACAACAACAACAACAACAACAACAACAACAACAACAACAACAGCATTAATCATTTTAAAACTGTTCGCTCTTACTGGCGCGCGTGTTTTGCATTCTGTATACCCCAACCCTCGATACCCGCCCACTTCGTCTTCGACCGCACCCCCTTGCGGGGGGAATATCTTCCCTGCCGGCCACTGACTGCAGTGCGAGGAACTCTCGAGCGAGAGCGCCGTTCCTGAGTTCGGGTGCCTCTCTGGCCAGGCCAGGGGCTCTCGGGGGCCTCGCTGGCAAAGGCCCCTGCGCATACATCTTGAGGACGTATCGAACGAAAGTCCTTGTCGTCGTAATTGGGCCTCCACCACTTTGACTGAATCACGAGAATGGCTAGAGCGAGAGCGCCGTTCCTGAGTTCGGGGGCCTTCAAAGCCAGGGGCTCTCGGAGCAAATCGTGAGGAGGTATCGAGCAGCAGGAGCCCTTGTCGACGCGGCTGGGCCTCCGTCAACTTGATTGAATTGCGAGGAACTCTCGAGCGAAAGCGCCGTTCCTGAGTTCGGGGGCCTCTCTGGCCAGGGTGTCTCGGGGTAAACTGTGAGGAAGAACCGAACGGGAGCCGCTGTCATCGTACAGTCGGGGCGTTGACCTAAGGAACCCTAAATACGGAACGAGGCCCCCTTTTTCTATAAGTTAAACTTCGATTTCCGATCGAAAACATAAGGAAAACCTGAGGCAAGCTGCGAAACACTTAAGGAACGCGGAGCCCCTCCCCAACCCAAAGGGTTCCTTCTTCAGGGCCCCGACCGCAGCCCGGCCTCCGAGGGCCCACTTTTACACTCAAGCCGACTCTCGGGCGGGAGCCTCGTGTTCAGAGAAAGCGTAGGCGGCGTCGCGGCGAGTCCGAGGGCGCGCGGAACCGGTTCCGGAGACCGGTAATAATTATTCTTTGGAAATGAATATTCAGCAGCAACAACAACAACAACAACCACAACCACAACCACAACCACAACCACAACCACAACCACAACCACAACCACAACCACAACCACGACGACGACGACGACGACGACGACGACGACAACAACAACAACAACAACAACAACAACAACAACAACAACAACAACAACCACAACAACGACGACGACGACGACGACGACGACGACGACGACGACAACAACAACAACAACAACAACAGCAGCAGCAGCAGCAGCAGCAGCAACAACAACAACAGGTGTGCGTGACACCGAGGCCAGACCCCATTTTGAAAAGGACCCAGCCTCAGTCCAAGCAACCGTTGCGTGATGGCGAATGCGTGCGGCGCCAAGGCGAACGTCGCATCTTGAAAAGGATCCCGCCTCCGTCCGCGAACTGCTGCAAGCTTCGAGGACGAATGTGCGCGGCGCTGGGGCAGGGTTCGCCTGTGCACCCCACCCTCCCCCTCTGAAATCGTGGGGGGTGGGGGGGCAGGGTCCGCATGCGGCCCCCTACTCGGACCCCCGGCCGGCTCCGGCGCCCTGGCGAGCACCCGCGAGAGGCGTGCCCTCTGCGCGGGCGGCGGAGGACGAGGCGCACGCCCGCGCTCCGCGGCTCCCGCCCCCTCGTGTGCGCCGCTGCCCGCCCCACAGGCCCCAGCCGTCCGCCGCAGCCGCGGGCGCGCGCCCGCGGCGAGGACGGCCCGCGGCAGCAGCCGCAGCTCCTCGAGCGGCGGCGCGGGGCCGAGGCGCGCCGAGGCGGGCGCCGGCGCGGGCGGGCCGGGTCAAGCAGGAGGCCGCGCAAGGGGCCCGCTCGAGCCGGGGCAGAGGCCCCCTGCCCGCACTCGTGGGCCCTCGCACTGGGCCCCATGCCCTCGCCCTCCCTGCCGGGGCGCCTGTGCGGCTCCCTCCTGCGGCAGCTGCTGCGGCCACGGGCGGCTCCCGCTCGCCAGGCGAGCAGGGATCTGGTGGCGCCCGCCTCTGCCCCTTCCCCCGGGGAAGGACGAGGCAGAGGCGAGGCGCTCGCTCCTCCAGTGGAGCCTGCACCGCGGCAGGGCGCCCGCCGGGCGCCCTGCCGGAGTGCTCCAGGGCCCGCGGGGCGGGGGGCCGCCGCCCGACGTCTCGAAACATCGAAGCATCGTGAGAGCGACCACGCACGGAGCCCTGGACCCCAGCGCTCTGCGCCACTCCTCGAGCCCGATCGATCTGTGGGGGCCAACCTGGGCCAGCATGTTCTGGGCGACCACGCGCGGCTCGAAACACGGGAGTCGCCAGGCTCTCAGGGAGCACCTCGGCAGGGCGCCCGCCGGGCGCCCTGCCGCGGCGCTCCCTGGCCGCGGGGGGCCGCCGCCGTGCGCGGTCCTGCGCGGCGCCCGCCTCGGCCGGCTCGCGCGCCGCCGGGCGGACCCTGGCGACCGCCAGGGGCCGCCGCCTGTGGAGCGCCTCCGCTCGGAGGAGAGGGCCCCAGAGATCCAGCGCAAGGAAAAACCCAGGACGGAGGTTTGTCGCTGATTCCGGCCCGGGGCCCTCACCGGGCCTCGGGGCCGTCAAAAAACTGCTCGGGACGAAAAACCGGTGCTGTGGGGAGCGGGTCGAGACTTCTGGGGGCCCCGCACTGAAAAAAACACGACATCGGATCTCGATCTGGTGACAGGACAGGGACCCTGCGTGCCAGCTCCCGGAGGAGCGGTCCCCTAAGAGGCAAGCGGTTCAGACGCACAGCTGCAACGAATACACCTAGGAGATCCGACGTCGTTATTTCTTCAGCACGGGGTCCCCGGAAGTCTCGACCCATTCCCCAGGACCCGTTCTTCGTCCTGGGTCGTTTCTTGACGGTCCCGGGGCCCAGCGAGGGCCCCTCGGGGCCGAAGGCAGCGAAAAGCCTCCGTCCTGACTTTTGGCAGCACGCTGGATCTCTGGGCACAGTGCGCGGCGAGCGGAATACGGAGAAATACCCACAACCGCACCGTATATGCGGCGGGCGGCGCCTCGTCTCCGCTCGGAGGGCGGACCCGTCGAGGCGCCCAGGCGGCCCGCGGGTCCCTGGCTCCCTTCGCCCTCGCCGTCGCTGTGGGACTTACCAGCCTGGAACATATCCCTATCCCTATGCTGGGCACCTCCTCATCACGATGCCAATCTTAGGGATTCCCTTATTTTTTGAGGGCGAATCCCTAAGATTGCCATCGCCGTTTGGCGTGTCAATCCAGGGGATAGGGATACGTTCGAGGCTGGTAAGGCACCCGCCCCAGAAGGCAAGCCTGAAGTCGGGCGTGTCCCCCTACAGGGGGATTCTGGCCGACAGGATAGAGATGCCCAAAAGATACTCAGAGGATGCCCAAAAACGGCTCCAGAAATGGTCCCCGGAACACTTTTTTTGTTGCTAATTTTGAATATTCCCCCTGGAGAGGGACAGGCCCGACTTAAGACAAGCCCCCTCGCGCTGCGACCGGAGCACGGCGGGAGGCGTTCCGCCACCTTCGGCCTCCGGCGGGGCCCCCCCCCGGGCCTCGGGACCGTCGAGCAACGACTCGGGACGAGAGAAGCCCGCCCCGAGGAAGAGGCCGAGGCCTCTGGGGGCCGGATTGATCTGTCGGGATGGCGCGGAGGCCGAACTTTAGAATCCACGTAAAAGCTGCGGGGATCGAAGTCGCTATCATATCATGCTGATTAGCAACAACAGCAAAAACGCTGAGCATGGCCATGGTGGTCTCGCCGCACCAGCTTCCAGAATCACGACGACGGGGGCCTGGGAAGGCATGGCCCCGGGCGTGCGCTGCCGTGTTTTTGTGTCCATGCTGGGTCCCCGAGTCGGGGGGAGCGAAAATGGGGGATGGCAGAGAGCAGGGTAGAGAATCGGCTCACGTGGCTGAATTTTTGTCCCAGCGCCTCCGGGCGCCGGGAGGCGCCCCCACGCATCGAGGGATGGGCCCAGCGGCGGGGCAGAAAACCCAGCTGCATGCAGGCCCGACCAGGAGCCCCGGGGCCGCCCCCGGGGCCGGCTCGTCCTCCTGAGCCGTCGTTTGCCGGCCCCACAGGGCCCCACGCAAATACAAAGGCCCCCCCCCTCGCCCTCATTCTTCCAGACCTTCCGTGCTGACCTTCCACACTCTTGCGCTGCGTGCAACGCTGACTTTTCCTGCGTTTCCTGAGGCTGTCAATAGTTTTGATGCATCACCTTCCGCGCCTTCCGCAGAGGTCGGAAGGCATGGAAGATGGAGGTGCAGGGCCAGAGGCCCAGACCTCCCGTCCTGGCTACTTCTCTTTTTGCCACGACCCAGGCCTTCCTCCAGGGATGATGCATTGAAACGACTGAAGTCCTCAGGAAGCTCAAGAAAACTCAACGCTTCACGACGCGCAAGGGTGTGGAAGGTCAGCACGGAAGGTCTGGAAGAATGAGGGCGGGGGCCGGGGGAGGGGGCGGCGGCAGGAGGTGAGGGGGGGGAGGAGGGAAGGGCAAGCTAGGTGCGCTCGCGTCATATCTGACAGCCTACCCCTCCCTCCCATCCCTTACCATGGCGTAGATCCCCTCTCTACTCGCACAGTCGGATGTCAATCAGGGCAGTGATCCCGAAAGGGTACGCGATGCATTGTAGAGCACAGCATGGCATGGCGTAGAAGAGCACCGCGAAGCGTAGTATGTCACAGCATGGCGTGGCGTGGCGTAGTGAAGAATTGCATCACAAAGCTTTGCAACGCAAAGCATGGCATCGCACAGCGGCCCCGAACATAACATTGCATAGCATGGCGTTGAAGATCAAAGCGTAGCATGGCATAGCACGACGTGGCACTTAAGCACTGCATATCACAGCTTCAGCTGAAGGCATGGCATCGCGCAGCGGAACGCAACCTAGCATTGCATTGCATGCCGTGGCATGGCACGGGAAATGACGCCAGCGCTGCAGCGGGAGCACGATTCGGAACGAGCGGAAGCGCGGAAATGAGGCCAGCGCTGCAGCGGGAGCACGATTCGGAACGAGCGGAGGCACGGAAATGAGGCCAGCGCTGCAGCGGGAGCACGATTCGTAACGAGCGGGGCCCGAAAATTAGGCAGGCGCCTCAGCGAGAGCAGCATTTTGAAAAAAAATGTAGCCGAAAACCCAACTCCGGGGAATCCTGTGTGTAAAAAAGCCATACGCGAGGGGGGGGGGGGGTGGGGGGGGGGGGGGGGGGGGGCGAACACTCCCAACCCGTCATCAGGGAAGAGGAGAGTAGTATTCATATTGAGTAATTGTGTAATTGGGGAGGGGGGGGAGGGGAGGGGGGGGAGGGGGGGGGAGGGGGAGACTGAAGTGTCAGAGGGGGGGATCACGTCACGTCCTCAGCATGGCCGCCTGAAAGGGGGGGAGGGGGGGGGAGGAGGGGGAGCGGCCAGGGGGAGGGCTTCGCAGCTCTCCCTTGGCCTGCTCGCCGCAGTGCCCGTTGCGAAGCGGGTGGCGGCGTCGCAGCTCATGGCCACGACGACGCACAGGCGCGGAACATCGTCCCCGAGGGACCGCGACTGGGGAAGCCGAAAAGACCCTACACCTGCCCCAGCCTCACCCTCGTCCAGCCCACCGAAGACGTCGACGACGGCGTCGTGGGCGCCGCCGCTTGCGACTGCTGGAGCGCTTCGAGAAGAGGTCATAAACCTTAGCTGGACGCGGCGCGAATCACTGCCCAGGACCGCCTGGGGGCTCCGTCTGAGCAGATCTGTGGCCTCCTGAACCCCCCAGGCTCCGCCCCCTCACTAGAGGCCTCCTACATGGGGTCGGAGCAGATGGAGTCGGAGGATCGCGCCGCATCGCCAATACATCGCCGACACATCTGAAGGGGCCCTGGGACACACAAATAAATACACACAATAAAAATATTCCCCATATTTTCCCATAGTTTCTGGGTGTTTGTCTTTCCGCCCAATTCCCATATTTTCCCATATGTTCCTGGGAATCGACGATTAATTGTGTCTGTGTGCTTCTTTCCCTCCTGAACATCGGCGATGCACTGGTGATGCATCGGCGATGCACCGGCGATGCATCAGCGGCGTCGGCGAGGCATCGGCGGACGTCCGCGTGAAGACAATCGGGCTCCGCATCGAGCCGCATTTGCGATGCATCGGCGATGCACCGGCGATGCATCAGCGGCGTCGGCGATGCATCGGCGGACGTCCGCGTGAAGACAATCGGGCTCCGCATCGAGCCGCATCTGCGATGCATCGGCGATGCAGCGCGATCCTCCGACCCCATCTGGGAGGCCTCTGGGGGCGGAGCCTGGGGGGCTGAGGAGACCACAGATCTGCTCAGACGGAGCCCCCAGGCACCTCCCAGGGTCCGCCCTGGGCAGTGACCCGTGCCGCGTCCAGCCATGGTCACGACCTCTTCTCGAAGCTTTGGACACCCGAAATGGGTACCGAAAGAATGAGTACAATGCCCAACAACAAATGTTGTCCCCAACCAACAGCGGCCGCTGTTGTGCAGGCGGCCTTCTGTCTCGAATGGACACAGGCCGCGGCCGCTTGGACAGCGAATCCTGCTCAAAATGAACAGGAACTGCTGTTGGGCATCGTACGGAGGAGGAGGAGGAGGAGGAGGAGGAGGAGGAGGAGGAGGAGGAGGAGGAGGAGGAGGAGGAGGAGGAGGAGGAGGGGAGGGGAGGAGGAGGAGGAGGAGGAGGAGGAGGAGGAGGAGGAGGAGGAGGAGGAGGAGGAGGAGGAGGAGGAGGAGGAGGAGAGGAGGAGGAGGAGGAGGGGGAGAGGAGGGGGAGGAGGAGGAGGAGGAGGAGGAGGAGGAGGAGGAGGAGAGGAGGAGAGGAGGAGGAGGAGGAGGAGGAGGAGGAGAGGGAGGAGGAGCAGGAGGAGGAGGCCCCGCGAGGGGACGCAGAAGAACATACGAGCACGACGCGCTGATGTTGACGGCGCACGCCCGACCCGAGCATACAGGCGTACACACGCCCGATAGCATCTCGCTTCCCGAGCGGTGTGGCCAGAAAGTGCTCGCCACGGAGCTCATCTGAGCACGGCGCGACCCCAGTCAGGGGAAAGCTTCCTGTTGCGGGGGCGCGGAGCTGGGCAATGCTTGGCACTGCTTGGCATTGCTTGGCACTGCTTGGCATTGCTTGGCACTGCTTGGCACTGCTTGGCATTGCTTGGCAGTGCTTCGCATTGCTTCGCATTGCTTGGCACTGCTTGGCATTGCTTGGAACGGGCACAATAAAAATACGAGGCACCTGGGGCGGGGAACCCGGGCAACCCGGGCAACCCGAGAAACCCAGGGAACCCGAGAAAGCCGGGGAACCCGGGGAACCCGAGGAATCCAGGAACCCAGGGAACCTTCAGGCAACGGGCAACGTAAGAATGGGAGGCACAGAGGGCGAGGAACCCGGGGAAACCCGAGGCACCCAAGGAACCTCCAGGCAACGGGCAGCGAAAGAATCCCAGGCACCAACCTTCAACCAAGTGAGAAGCCCTTGGGCAAGCCTCAAGTAGGGAACTACAAGCTTTCTGAGTGTGCGTGTCGCCCTTGCGGGGCCGACGTGCAGTCGGGGGCGCGCCCGGCCGTCTGAGAAGGCGGCGGGGCTTCTCAGAAGCACCCCGGCCTCAGGTCGGGCATGTCCTCCTGGACGACAGATAAGAGATAGTAAAAAACAAGACTCAAAACATGTCCAGAATTGTAGAAGAACCGTCCCCTGACGATTTCATTACCACTTCTGAATGTTCCTCCCGTAGAGAGACATGCCCGACGTAACCCTGGCCTTCCGAGGAGTGTTCCGCGTCCTCGGGGAGGCGCACGAAACTCCTCAGGCCTTCCGAGCCTTATGAGAAGGCCTGCCCCGTCTGACTCCCCTAGGGGAACGAAGCATGCCGCAAGCAGAAAAGCTTGGAGGCCCGCGCGGATCTCTCGGAGCCAAGTTTCTATGCTCATAGCACTCTTCTCGCGCCCCTGAGGAGGTCAGCTCTTACAGTCGGGGCGTTGACCTAAGGAACCCCAAAGAAGGAGCGAGGCCCCCTTGTTCCATATCATAAGCTTCGATGCCACATCGAAAACCTCAGGAAAACCTGAGGCAAGCTGCGAAACTGTTAAGGAGCACGGAGCCCCTCCCCAGCAAGGGCTCCTGCTTCAGGGCCCCGGCTGTGTGCCTCTCCGCTCCCCCACCCCTGCCCCCCAACCCCCCGGGGGCTCGCCGCCGACGCGCTGCCGCGAGCGCCGCCCGGGTGGTGCCGAGGCGCCTCCCTCCTCCCTCCCCCCTGCTCCCTCCCCCCCCATCCCTCCTCCCTCCTCCCTCCCCCCTCCCCACTCCCCCCCTCCCCCCTCCTCCCTCCTCCCTCCTCCCTCCTCCCTCCCTCCCTCCTCCTCCCCTCCCTCCTCCCCCTCCTCCTCCCCGCGGCGCCTCCACGATGGAGCCACGAAGTTCAGCGTGGAGAGGTCGCCGCCCACGGTGAGCCCGAAGGCCACCCAGAGGGTCCAGAACGCCGACGTGCGCACGGCCTCTCTGGACGCCCGAAACGGGTACTCCAGATTTCGTAATAAAGGGAGGGGGGTCTCATTTCGGGGGGGGTCTCTTCCAGGCTATCTTGGAGGGCCTGGGGGGTCTGGGGACGATGTTTTGGAGGGTTCTCCCACGGGGGAGGTCTGAAATGGCTTGTCTTGGAGGGTCCAGACCCCCTCCCTTTTATTACGAATCCTGGAGTACGGAAAGAATGGGCACGATGCCCAACAGCGAATGTCGTCCCGAACCAGCAGCGGCCGCTGTTGGGCAGGCGGCCTTCCGTCCCAAAGGAACACAGGCCGCGGCGGCGCGGACAGCGAATCTAGGGGGAAAACAAACCTACCTCGCTTTTGACCACCCTCGCTTCCAAGAGATATCAAACGAGGCCAAACTACGGCCTGTACTGGTCAGGCCGCTTGACAAGGAGGCGCGTGGTAGGACTTGGTTTTGCCTGGAAGCGAAAGCGGGGTAGGTAATTCACGCTCTGAACCCGGTTCAAAAGGAGCAGGAACTGCTGTTGGGCATTGTACCCATGCTTTCCGTGCCCATGCCGGGCGCCCAGGGCCTCGGACGGCGCGAGGTCCGCCCCGGGCGGGGCGGCCGCCGGCCGCCCCGCGATCAGCGACTCCTGGCGGCGGTCCTCAGGGCGTGCCGGCGGCCACGTGCGCGGCGCCGAGCGACGCGTGCGGGCGCCAGCGCGTGGCGTCCGACGAGGGGCGGGGCGGGGCGGCAGGGCGACCCCATACAGTCGGGGCCTTGACCTACGGAGCCCTAAAAATGAGGAGCGAGGCCCCCAATTGTCCCAGAAGTTCGACTGCGATTCCCCATGGGAAACCTGAGGAAAACCCACAGCAAGCTGTGAAACACTCAGGGGACACCGAGCCCCTCCCCAACGAAAAGGGTTCCTGGTCCAGCGCCCCGACTGTGCCCCCGCCTTTCGAGGGTCTTCCGACTGGGCCAGCGACCGTGGGCCCGACTCTGGGATAGACGATTGGGGGGGGCGTCCACCCTCGAGGGGGGTGCGTCCAGATGGGCCCCCGAAGGTGCCTCCCTGGCCGCGGCTGCCCCCTCTCTTCTGAGCGGCCGGATGTGCCGGGGGCAACTCCGGGATTGAGGAGGAAGCATCGCGTGCGATAAATGGCGGAGCCGAACGGGGTAAACACACGCCTGGGCGACAGTTAACGCGTATAAGAAGGATGCATCGTAAGAGTGCAAGCCCATGGGCGCTGGAGTTGAAGCTCTTTGAGCTGAGGATTGCCCAAGGATAGGCCGAACAGGCGAGGGTGCGAGGGTACCCTTGGGAATGTCACTCAACCTTCGTGAATACCATGACAATGGGCACCCTAACAATCCTATCGTTGCATTGAAAATGCGTTGAAAATGTTTGGACATGCCCTAAAATGCTTCAAGTATGTGTTTAGCATGATTAAGACACATCTTAAACATGTTTTAGACATCTGGAAGTTATTTGGCGACATGCTTCCTCTCCATGGATCGTCGTCCACACCTCAAGCTTACCATGCGCGTTGACGGCAACACACACCCTGAAGACCATCGGTCCTGGCGCTGGCCGTCCTTGGGGCCCGGGTGGGGCGCCCAGCAGGGCCCAGTGCCCAGCGGCACGAGCAGCAGCGGGGCGAGCAGCAGCAGCACCGCGTAGTTCGACCAGGTCCGCACCGAGGGGTCCTCCAGGGCCGCGTACAGGTTGGACTTAGGTCGGGCATGTCCTCCTACAGGCGGACTTGGGGCGAAACATATTTTTGCTGCTCTCCATCTCGCATATCGTGTGCCGGGAAGTCGACAGGCAACCCTGCCGCAGGGCCGTTATCGCCCTTGCCTCCCGAGTGAGACCTGCGGTCGGAAAGGAAGCGTCTGGGGGCCATGCCGCCCGGACTCGAAAGCAGCCGGACTCGAAAGCAGCGCTTGGGACGAAAAAATAAGAAGCAGTCAACAAAAATCAAAGCTTGTCCAAAGTGAGCTAAGAGAAAACTCGTCCCCAGACGATTGCGTAACCTATATTTGAATCTTCCTCCTGTAGACAGAGACATGCCCGACTTAAGGTTGGAGCCGGAGATCACAGAGACCAGCGCCATCGCCAGGGCGGCCACGGCGCCGAAGCGGCGCGGTGCGCGCTCGCAGTCCGGCGACGGCGCAGGCTCGGCCTCGGCTCGGGAGGTGAGCAGGGCCCCAGGGACGACGACGGCGGGGATGCAGACCGCGAGGAAGGCCGTGTACGTCTGCACGCTGCCCCCCATGAACCCGCCCTGGCTGGCCGTGGAAGGGCAGGGGAGAGGCGGGAGGAGGGCGGAAGGGGGGGGAGGGGCTGGAAGATCAGAGGCCGCCCTGAGCAACAAGATGTCCACGGCTATGATTCCCGCCCGTTCTCGCAGAATACGAGAGCGCTTCAGACCTCCCTCTGTCGAGTTGAGCCTGGGGTGGTACCGTGCAGGTGGCCTCGAGCCTGCGCTCAGCCGCCCTCTGCCGTGCCACGAGGCGCTCGGGTGCCCTGCGGTGCCCCGCCGGTGGTCTTCACGACGGGCTCGGCTGCGCCGTGCCGTGCTGTGCTGTGCTGGGCCGTGATGGCGCGGTGCCGGCGGCCACAGGGCCGAACTCGGTCGAGCGGTGCCGTGCCGCACGCGCCGCGTGGGCTGCCACGAAGGATCCAGTCAGGGGCCAGCTGCCCGACGGCATGCCTCGCGGCACCGGCCGCGCCGCGCCCGTGCGGGGCCGTGCGGGGGGTCGCCGCGCCGGCCGTCGCCCCAGGGGCCGCGAGCTCGGATTCGGCAGCTGCGGCGCAGTAGGGGCTCGACCTCCGGAAGCCTGCCACGAGAAACCCAACCCTGAGACCCCAGGACGTCGGGTGGACTGTTGGTGTGGGAGCGTCGCGCTCCCCGCAGCAAACCCATGGAGATCCAAGCAGCCCAGGGCACCCTGGAGGCGAGCGCGTGCTCCTCGGCATGGGCTTCCACCTTCTGGCGACGTGCACACGGCGCCGTGTGGGTTCCGCCTGACTAGGGGAACGAACAATCATGAGCATAAAAACTCGGAGGTCCTCGCGGATTTCTCGGATCGGCGCTGGACCCCCCTCCCTGGCGGGCGGAGCGCGCCAGTGGCGGCGCCCGAGGCGCCGCCAGGGGGCCCCAGCGCCGATCCGAGAAATCCACGCAGACCTCCGAGCTTCTATGTTTGTGTCATGTTTCGCTCCCCTAACAACGTCCCCTGGCGCTGGCCCCCCTCCTCCTCCCCCCCCCGTCCTCCTGCTCCTCCTCCTCCTCCTCCTCCTCCTCCTCCTCCTCCGAGTCTTCATGTTTATGTCATTGTTCGCTCCCCCAGCGGTGGCTCCGTGGCGGCGGCTCGTGCGGCGCGCCGGAGAGCGGTCGGGCGGCTCAAGGCCGCGCGGCGCCGTGGCATGCCGCGCGCGGGGCGCGCCGCAGGGCGAGGCGGTGGCCGGGTGCTGTGCGGCGACGTGGGCGGCGGGCTTTGTGCTGCTGGATCGTTCTGCGGGGCAGCGTTCGGTCGGGCACGTCCTCCTCCTCCTCCTCCTCCTCCTCCTCCTATCCTCCTCCCTCCTCCTCCTCCTCCTCCTCTTCCTCCTCCTCCTCCTTCTCCTCCTCCTCCTCCTGCTCTTCCTACAGGCGGACTCTGGAAGAAAAGTACAGAACATGAAAAAATGCAAAAATAGTCAGAGGAACACGAGAAATCGTCACCGGACTATTTTATACTATTCTTGAATACTCCTCCTGTAGAGGGACATGCCCGACTTAAGGGTAGCTGCGCGATGCGCTTGGACTGCGTGAGGCTTGGAGTGAGCGCGGGGCAGCATCTCTACCCGCACGCTGCAGGGTTTTGGCAGCGGGATCTTGGCCAGTAGGGAAGACCTCGTGTGCGCTTTGCTGAGCGTTTCGTGCCACTCAGCCGGCATCCTGGTGCGCCGTGGCACTGGACAGGGCCAAATGAACTGGCGCACGCTGCAGCTGAGAGAGCCGGGAGCTGCGGCAGGCACGGCGTGCTGTTGCTTGCCTCCGGCGGCACAGGCAAGTTGAAGAGATCGGGCGGACCTCGTCGAATTCGGGAATCCTCGCCCACGCAGAGCTCAGGTACAGTCGGGCTGCTGAAAGAAGGAACGCTAAATAAGGAACGAAGCCCCTTCTTGGCACTGTAAGCGCCTCCGTGCCCCAGGAGGGCAAGAGGAACAGCACTGGAGGAACCTGAGGAATATCGAGCCCCTTCCGAACCAAAAACTGTTCCTTATTTCAGCGTCTTGACTGTACAGTCGGGGCGTTGACCTAAGGAACCCTAAATAAGGAACGAGGCCCCTGTTTTCCATAAGTTGAACTTCGATTTCCTATCGAAAACCTAAGGAAAATCCAAGGCAAGCTGCGAAACAATTAAGGAACACGAAGCCCCTCCCCAACGAAAAGGGTTCCTTATTCAGGGCCTCGACTGTATGTGACCGTCTGCCCTGCGCTCCCGCCGAGCGCTCTGCACAGTGTTCATGGCCCAACGGAGCTCTGGCGCTGCAGATAAAACAGGGCTAGGATCGGGATAAATCGCTCCAGAGCGTTCCGGAGCGCTCTCAGAGCGTTCCGGAACGCTCTGGAGCGGTCGCGGCGCCCAATATATCCTCCAAACCCGCCGATTCTCAGAGATTTCGAGTGATCCCGATCCGATTTTGTACCGATCTTCGCGTCGTTTTAGCAGAGTCGCTCAGAGGGAGGCTGCCACCTTCCCTCCGCGTGCGCCCGGGCAGCGGCCAAGGCGCGGGGTCGCTGCGGCGGCGCGCGCCAGGTTTTCCTCTTGGCGGCGGCGTCCAAGCGGAGGGCCAGGGGGGGGGGAAGGCAGGGGCAAACAAACCTACCTCGCTTTTGACCACCCTCGCTTCCAAGAGATACCAAACGATGCCAAATTGCAGCCTGTACTGGTCAGGCCGCTTGACGAGGAGGCGCGTGGTATGGCTTGGTTTTGCCTGGAAGCGAAAGCGGGGTAGGTAATTCACGCTCTGAGGAAGGCAGGAAGGAGAGACGGGCGCAAGGGGAGGCAGGGGAAGGGGACGTGGAGGGAAGCAGAGGGGAAGAAGCAGGGAGGGGACCGGGATGGGGGAGGCCGATCCCCGGTCTGTCTGCTGCCGGCCTGGCAGGCCCCGCCGCTGAAGTGGCCGCCCAGGCATCCCCCCAGCAGCGCCACCAGCACCGCCGACGAGGCGCCGAAGAAGCAGGCCATGATGCCCACGACCTCAGGCGCGTCCAAGGCGCCGCCCCGGCTCTCCTGGCGCCCTGCCTCTCCCTTCCCCCGCGTGCCCGCGAGGCACGGGCAGGCGGGCGACCTCCACCTCGCCGGTGCCGCGCGGGCGATCGCAAGACGACGGCATGCCCAGCTGCAACGAAAGTGGCCTCTCCTCTTCCCTGCCATTCCGTCGTCTCTCTTCTCTCTTCCCGCGCTCCTCCTCCCTCATATCCTGTCTTTCTCTCTCTCTCTCTCATGCCTCCTGCCTCCTCCCTTCTCCTCCTCCCCCTTCAGTCGAACCTAGGCCAGAAGAACATCCCTCAAGAACATGAGAACCTCCGCTGGCCAAGGTACCCTCCCCAGGATGCACAAGAACATCCAACAGAGACCAAGAACATCAGGGCACCCTCCCCGAGCCGACCTCGACCTTGCACCTCAGCCCGACTGTACTCCTGCCCCCCCCCTCGTCGCACCCCTCCTCCCTCGCTCGTCGTCCCGACCCTGGCGGGCCGACGGACCGGCGACGTCTGAGCGCGCGGCGAAGCCGCGCTCCTTCCTGTGGAAGTTCGACATGTTGGCGAACAGCGTGCTGATGTACACCCACCCAGAGCCGTGGCCTGCGGCCAGCCAGCCCAGGGCAGCCACGGCGGGGTGCGCCCGCAGCCGGAGGGCCGCGGACAGCACGCCGCAGCCCGCACTCGCGAGCGCACCGCCGAGCAGCACGGGCCCGGCCGGCGGGAGAGCCGGGGGGCAGCAGGCACGGCGCCGGGGCCCAGGAAACGGTGCATGCGCTCGCCGCTCGCTGCGACCCCTCGGGGGAGAGGCCCCATCCCATCCCCCACGCCCAGAGCTCTGCCCCTGGGCGCTCTCTTCGAGGAGGCACCCCTGGCCCCGGGCCCTCTCACGGCCGCGCACCCTCGGACTTCCGGCCGGCCAGATGGTGGGTCGCACGCCGATCTTCTCCATCAGCAGCCCGCCCACCACGTTCGTCCACAGGCCCACGTTGCCGGCGACCCCGATCAGCTGCGTCTCGGCCTCCGTGGCTCCCAGCGCCTCCTTCACCTGGCCGCCGATGGAGCCGAACGTGAACACGGAGCCGCTCACCAGCATGAGGAAGATCCCGGCCACGAGCGTAGCCCAGCGGTTCCATCGCCCCTCCACAGGAGCGACGACGAGACAGGGGCTTTAGGCAAGATGGCACAGCGACCTCACGCCGCGGCGTGCGCGGGCCGCCAGCGTGGCACACCGCGCGGAGAGAAAGTGGCGCTCACGCACGGCGCTCACCGCGGGAGGCCTGCGCGCGAACCCCCGCGCGGTCGACCCCGCTTCTTTGTCGCTCGCTCACCTGGCCAGCGTCCTGCGACGAGCTGCTCTCCGCAGCAGAGCTGGAGTCGGAGGCGAGCGCCGCCTCGGCCTTCACGCCGGCCATGGGCCTTCGGCCGCGCTCCGCGCGGCCAGGGGCAAGCCACCAGCGCGGCAGCCAGTCGTGGGCATGCGCGCTGCCGGTGGCACCGAGCTCAGTGGGGCGGGGCCGAGACGGCCTTTGCCAAGATGATGGCGATGGCGACGGCAACGACAGCAATGGCGACGCTGATGGCATCCGCACGGTGGCGGGTGAGCGTCAGTGCCTCAGCCTTGCCGCCAGCTTCCCTTGCAACGCAGCGGCCTGCACCCCTCCCTCGAGCCCCAACAGACTTGACCGGCAGAGCTGGACCAGAGTGCACTGCATGACTGCCGCTGGTGGTTGCGTCTCCCTGGCACAAGATACGGCATTCCTCATCCCTCCTCCGCGTCGTCCTCCCACTGCTACTGTTGCTAGCATCCACCTCCGAAAGCAGAGGAGTGCACATGGCCACTGCTCCAAAGGAAGATGAAGGGAGGCGGGCGGGACGCAGAATGGGCGGCAGGGGGGGACGGAGGAGAAGTTTAAGCAGGAGTAGAACGACGACTACGACGACGATGACGACGATGACGACGACGACGACGACGACGACGATGACGCGGACTGAGATGATAAGCGGGTTGAGGAAGGCGGAAAGGGCAGGAGGAGGAAGAGGGGTAGAGGAGAGGATACTGAAGGACGAGGAGAAGGGACGAGAACGAGAGCGAAGGAGCAGGAAGAACATGATGAGGAGGACGAGGGTAAGGACGAGAAGAAAAAACGGAGGCACCCAGGGACACGCGGGGACGGACGATCCAGCGCCGGCAGGGTACGGCGAGAGTGACTACCTACCAGACCACCCCAACCCAACCCGAAGACCCGAATTTCGGGTTGGGGGGGGGTAAGGGTTCCGCGGGTGTTTTTCCGATGTTTCCCGACCCCCCCTACTGGAAATCGAGGGTACATCTGAGCCTTCGGGTTGGGTTGGGGTGGTTTGGTGGGTGGTGGGAGGCAGGGGGTGGGATTCGCACCGGACTCGGCCGTGGACAAACGTCCGTTTCGTAAACCTCCCCTTGGTGAAAACCGCGTGGGACCGAAGCCGACGGACCTGGACCCGCAGAAAGCACGGCCGCGGCGCCCTCTCGCGAGCCGGAAACGGCCAATTCCGCCAGACGGGAGGGCCCTCCAGCGCCCGGATGAGGCCCGCCAGACGGAGGGGGCCGAGCGGTCGAAGCCCCGGACTGTCGCGGGCGTCGCGCCGGTGCGCCCACTCGCCCGTCTCGACGTCGAAGGCGTAGTGGGGCAGCAGCTTCCAGCCGTGCTCTGCCACCTGCGCCCCTCGCCAGGGGGAAGGGGGTAGGAGGACCAAGAGGAGGAGGACGAGGAGGAGGTGGAGAAGGCGGGCGGGAGCAGAGGAGGGGGAGGAAGAGGACGAGGGGGAGGAGGACGAGGAGGAGGAGGAGGACGACGACGAGGACGACGACGAAGAGGACCAAGAGGAGGAGGACGAGGACGAGGACGAGGAGGAGGAGGAGGAGGAGGAGGAGGACGAGGGAGGGGAGGAGGAGGAGGAGGAGGAGGAGGAGGAGGAGGAGGAGGACGAGAGGAGAGGACGAGGACGAGATCGAGGAGGAGGAGGAGGACGAGGAGGAGGAGTACGAGGGGGAGGTGAGGAGGAGGAGGAGGGAGGAGGGAGACGAGGAGGAGGACGAGGAGGAGGAGGAGGAGGAGGAGGACGACAACGACGACGACGACGAGGAGGACGAGGAGGAGGAGGACGAGGACGAGGAGGAGGAGGACGAGGACGAGGAGGACAAGGGGGGGGGGGAGGAGGAGGAGAGGAGGAGGAGGAGGAGGGAGGAGGAGGAGGAGGAGGAGGAGGAGGAGGAGGAGGAGGACGAGGATCGAGTGCCGAGCTTTTGAAACGCTTGGGCCCGTTATGGGACCTCTTGAAGCCGACGAGGAGGACAGAATGGGAGCAAGAGCAGAAGAGGAGGAGCACCAGGAGCCAACGACTGCCCCCACCCCACAAAACACACACACACACACCCACACCCTCGCGCCCGCCGACCGCCCGTCCGTCCGTCCTCCATCTCGATGCCCCCTCCCCAGGGTGCGGCCGAGACTCCGTCGGAGGCCGCCGGGCGGTGGTGCCCGGCGCCCCTGCTGCGGCGAGGGAGGGCGGGCGGGCCACCCCGAGGAGCAGCGCGCACGCTCCGGTACCAGCTGCCACCACCGCTGTTCTGCCTCTGCTGATCTCGCTGCTGCTGCCGCCATCAGAGGACCAGCAAACAGCATGCAGTGGAGGCCAGTCCACAAGAAACCTTCCACAAGGAACCCAACCCTGAGACCCCAGGCCGTCCAGCGACTTTGGGCGTGGGAGCGCCGCACGCTCCATCGAGAAACCATCGACACCAGAGAAGCCCAGGGCACACGGGAGGCAAGCAGGGTGTTTCGTGGCATGTGTCTCCACAGTAAGCACAATTTCTCCGAGGCCTGCGCGGACTTCTCGGATCGGCGCTGAACCACACTCCCTGGCGCGCGGAGCGCGCCGGGGGCGGCGCTGGAGGCGCCGCCAAGGGGGCCAAGCGCCGATCCACAATCCGCGCGGACCTCGGAGAAATTATATTTTTGAAGGGGCCCAGGGACACACAAACAAATACATACACATATACATACCAGGACTCCCCATGTGTCTGTCAACTTGTCTTGACTTCCGTCTTCCCCCCCCCCACACCTTTCCATAGTTTCCCATATCTTGTTGAGAGTCGACGATTCTTAGTGTCTCTGTGTGTGTTTTCCCCCTCCTGAGCTTCGTTCGAGCCGTGCCGCTGCAGCTGCTGCCGGCGCCGCCGCTCCAGCCTCTCCCCCTGGCCTCTCCCACGGCAGCCGCCACCGCTGCCGCCGCCGCTGCTGCCGCCGCCGCTGCCGCAGCCGAGGCGGCCTCCCCCGCCCGTGCGCCGCCGTGCCCGGCCCCCGCCCAGCAGATCGCCCCGCGCACGACCAGGGCGTGCTCGTCGGAGTCGGCGAAGTGCACGCCGACCCGCGAGAAGCCCGGGCGCACAATCTCGCAGCCGTCCTGGCCGCAGCGGCGCCGGGCCGAGGGGGGAGCGGCACGGCGCGCCCTCTACGCCGCGGCGCGGCAGAGGCGACCCGCTCGCGCGGCCGAGCGATACTCCTCCTCCTCCTCCTCTTATTCTTCTTATTCTTATTATGAATATTCCTCTTATGACTATTAGTATCATGCTTAGTATCCTTCTTATTAAGGTAATTGTTATTCTTATTCGTACTATTATTGTTATTAGTAATAATAATAGTATTCGTATTGTTGTTAGTGTTACTATTAGTATTAGTAGCATGACTAGTATTATTCGTCTTAGTCGTCTTCTCATTATTATTAGTATTAGTATTACTGGTAGTATTCCTATGATTGTTCTTGTTATTAGTTTATTAGTATGTTTCTTCTTAGTAGTATTGATATTACTAGTATTGTTCCTCCTCCTCCTCCTTCTTATTTCTTCATCATACTATTAGTATTATTCCTCTTCTTCCTCCTCCTCCACCCTCCTGCACGGAATCGCGAAGTGAGCCGCACGCAAGAGGAACGGGGAGGCAGGCTCGGCACGCAGGCGGCATGGAGGGGAGGGGCGGGGTCCACCCAGGAGCGGAGCGGAGCGCCTGTGCTCCGCTTTGCTCCGCTTTCTTGGGGGGCCTCGGGCGTGTCAAAACGCACAACTGAGGACCTCTCAGGCCCTGCAAAATCGCTGGACGATCGGGCCCAAACGCCCAAGATAGCCTCCAGTCGGCCGCAGAACCGCCCAAGACGTCCCAAGAGGCCTCCAAGAGCACCCCCAAGAGCACCCCAAAGAGGGCGCAAAGAGGAAAAACTCCGTTCAATCTCTTTGAAAAAACCTAAATGTCTAGCATGTCCGACTTCTCGGCCTTCCCGAACACCGTCCCAAGAGAGTCCCAAGAGAGTCCCGCAACCGTCCAATAGGCGCCCAAGACGGCCCAAGAGAGCCCCAAGACAGCGCCAAGAGAGGCCCCTGAAGGGAACCGATAATTCCTGCCTTCCGCCCCAAGATACCCCCTCGACGTCCCAAGAGACCCCCTCGAGGTCCCAAGAGACCCCCCAGAGCACCCAAAAGACCCCCAAGAGGCCCCAAAGACGCCCGTAGAGGCCCCGCTTCAAAACTGCCCCCAAGACAAAAAAACGAGGGCCCTTCCACGACATCCCCACGAACACCTCAGAGGCTTCATTATCAACCACAACCCAGGCACGGTGGCGGAACGGGCCGAAGGCCATTGGATCCGCCGCCCCCTGCTTGCAGGGGTGCACGGCGTGCTGGACGATTCAGGTTTTGGTTTTGGTTCTTTTTCTAAAAGAACTCCCCAGTGGGCTTCGGCCCGTCCCGCCGGCCACCCGTAAATCTCATAAAACCCATCTGTCAATGCCCAAAAACGGCCGTTTCGCTCGGGACATCCTCAAAAAATCGCGAAGATGGCCCAAGATGGCCTCCAAGTCCGCCCGAGATGGTCCAAGACGGCCTCCAAAACGGCCCAAGAGAGTCCAAGACGGCCCAAGACGGCCCAAGAGGCCCCCCAGAGGCCTCCCAGACGGCCCAAGAGGCCTCCAAGAGGTCCTCCAGGAGAGTCCGAAGAGGCCAAAATCATTGATTTTCCCTTGGTTTTTGAAGGATTTTGGCATTTGCGCCCTTTTCGGCTCTCCGACGGCTCAAGACGGCCCAAGAAGCCCCCAAGATCGCCCAAGAGGCCCCAAGAGAGAGCCCCATGATGGCCCAAGTGGCCTCCAAGATGGCCCCTAGAGGGCCCCAAGAGGGCCCAAGAGGCCTCCAACACGCCCAAGATGGCCTCCCAGACGCCCAAGATGGCCTCCAAGACGGCCCTGGAGCATTCCAGGCGGGCCCCAAGTCGGCCCATAGAGGCCCCCCAAACGGCTTCCGACGGCTTCAGACGTGCCAGGAACCCACCAAGATGGCCGAAGTTGGCTCGAAGCTGGCCCGAGACGGCCCAAAAAGCCCAAAAAGCTTG